TTTTTTTTTTTTTATATAGTTAACCAATAGAATTCTCCATACTAGGAACGTAGTGAAACAAAAGTGTATGGTTTAGTGCTTGAACCTGAGTGGGCACTACCTGGCTCATTCGCAGGTTAGCAGAGGTAAGCAAATTCATTTGTCTCTCGTGGATAAGCTCAGCATCATTATATCGTATTTAATAAAAAAAATTAGTTTAATCATTTATCTATTACAAGTTTTTAATTCAGTTAAAAGTTGACTTTAACTATTTATCAGTAAAATTAGCTTGAAACATATTATCAAGTAAAATTCGTTTAAAACATATCGGTATGATTCCCCGAAAGTTAGTTCTTCACCTGACACCACATCTCCCAACAGACTATTTCATTTTCTCGACAAGACATTTTCAGACATTTCCTTTTTCTGATTATTATTATTATTATTATTTTAATTAAAAAAATTTTTTTATAAAAAAAAAAGCCGTGCGCCTGCGTCACGAATTACCATTCCGTGATATGAAAACCAATTATATAATCTTATATGGCCTAAGAATACAAATGAGAAAAAAAGAATATAAAAACATTATAAGACGCATTGGTATTATAGGTACGGGAAATGTAACAATTATAATTGAATTAATCTATTTTCTATTTCCTTTGTTTGAATTACATTCTCGTCGTCCGTTTTTTGAAACTTCTACATTCTATTATATGTTGTGAGTTGTATTCCATCAGTTGTTAATAGTTTATAAACGAATAAGTGATTCATTATTAACATCAACTCACTTATCTCAATGAAGTTGACAACTGAGAAAAAACCATTGTATATTACTGCAAAATTAGCACAACCACAACCACAACAACATCTCTGATTGGTGGTTGAGTTGTCTAGTATAAATGTGTATTTGTTTTTAGAGATTGTAACAGTATTGTAAATAAATACATTATATTTTTTCTAATAAATTTCCATTATAATTAAAATCTACATAGTATAGTTGAAATCTCTATATGACGTGAAAAAAATACGAAATGAAGACAGTCACATGATAAGGTTTCTTCATTTTGCAATTAAAGGTATAGTTAAGAATTTGGATTATTATGCAATTTATTACTAAAAATAAAAAGAATTGGATGATTAAATAGTTTTTATGTTGATATTGTTAAATCTCAGAGTATTTGAAGTGTCCTATAATGTATTTCTTTAATCTTTGTTAATTCTACATGTTATGTTGTTACTTATCTATATATTTTTGATTACATAAAAAAGTTCAAAAATAAGAAAATTACAATAAACTAAATTAAACATAAAACTCAATCACATCATAACTTAGTTAAAAAAAAAAAAAAAAACCAAATGATAGACAAAGCAAATTTTAAGTATTGGTTAAATGATCTAAATTGACAATCTATTAGAACTGATTACTACTCTAAAAAATTTCACTAGATGTAACGCAGAAAAATCATTCTAAAGATTTGCCTTCTGTGTATTAATAAAAAATTTTTTTCTTTAAATTTTGATACTACTAGACTCTTCAATCTTAAAAAAACTGCAAATATCTAACCTTAATCTAACTGCAAAATTTTTAGGTTGGTAACGCTAGGACTCAAATCATAGGGTGAATGGCATGACTAGTATACGAAATTTTATATACTGTGTAGTAGATTTTTGAAATTTTATGTTCTCAGTGTAACCTAAAATTTTTATATTTCCAGAGAACTCATTACTACGTGCTTGTGAAATATCCCAAATTTTAAAAAGTTTGACCACTAATAGTGAATCAATTTGATTGACTTCAGATATATGTATTTTTTATTTAAACTATAAAATACTATTCTATAACAATAAATATTATAATGAATTTATAGAAATTTAAAATAGGTTGATCCAATACAGAAGGGAGGCAATTATTTCATCGACATTCATTTTACCGACTGTCATTTCACCGATTTTGGCCCGATTTAGGGTTAGGGTTTGGCCAGTTTTATATTTTCGGTGAAATTATTGTCGGTGAAGTAACATAAACCCATACAGAAAGTTGGATCGCAATTACAGAAAGTTAAAATGAGTTGGGATTGCAATTACAGAAAGTTAAAATAGGTTTGAATTGCAATTACAGAAAGTTAAAGGCATCTGGAAAATGTGTACCAGGTTGGTGCGCCACAATGGCTTGATAGGTCAATTAATACCGTAAAACTAACTTCTAATGCTTGAATAAATTTAAGACTATAAAAACATTTAATTTGATAAAGTTATTCTTAGCTTACTTTTTGTTTATTTTATTTTTATATAATTTTAACTAGAGATGAGATTTCATATACATTTATCCCATCAAAATTTTGTATAGAACAATTATATAAGCTTCAAGATTTAAATTTCAATACAGTTTTATCCTCATTTATTAATGAATATCATTAATTCGTGATCTATTTGTAAATCAGTGAAATCATCTGATTAAGACATATATGTATACGGGGATAATGAAAATACATACGAGTAGTAGTTTTTAGAATCTGTACATTCCTATATTACAATATATATTAAAATGTCAAAACGGAAAGAATACGTGGTTACATTAATTTTTGCTGGTCATATTATTCAAAATTTACATTACGGGCCTTATTGTCATAATTGGTGGTTATCTCGACAAACTGACAAAGCTGATAATATAATTTTACTTTATCCTATACGACTTAATATGAAAACGTTAATAACTCTTCATAATTTTGATTTTATAATTGAGATAGTTGAATCAGTATCAGAGTATGGACCGGCACCTGGGTATTTGTGTAAATGTAAAGATATTCAAAGTGAAGTTTTTTTATTACCTACTAACGCAATCTCGAGTGTTTATTAAAATATAATAAAAACAGCAACGAAATTTTCAGGTCCGGTTATAATGGGATTTGATAACCCAATTATATCTGATATTTTAATTCAAGACCTTCCTTTTCAAGTGTATGCATTTATTTTGGGAAAATTACGAGTTTGGATACTTGGTATAGGAAAATCAAGTAAACCTAAATGGAATTATGCAGGAACTGGTTATAAAGCTTCTTTTATATATATGTATCAAAAACAATGATGTATTTTTTTTGAAGAATTTGATGACAATGAATGCAAACTCACAATTTATAATAAGCAAATGGAGGTTTCAAAAATTTTTACTGACATTGATCCTGATTTATTATGGAAACAAATTAATTGTTTATAACAATATAATGGAAAAAAACTTTTTGGATTAGAAGAGCTGAATACGCAGAACTTAATTCAATCTATCAAAATACCTACCTGTTCGTTAGACAAATGGAACAATAATTAATTAATGGAATATGTTTACAATTACCATCTAAAACGTAGACTATCAACTCATGTAAATTGGCTTAAATGGTTTAATCAATAGCAAGAAGAAACTTCAACAATTATAGAATTACAAACCAGTTTACATACACTATATCCATTTAATCACATTATAAATGATCGAGAACTACGTACGTGGAAAGCTATGTTAAAAGCCGTAGGATGTACTGAAATAATGCCATTTAACAAAGATCAATTAGAAGTAAGTAAATAAAGATTTAATAATCAGCCAATTACTTAACTTTTGATTACTAATTAAATATTCATTTCGATATTTTATTTTACATTTTGGTCAAGATCACATAATCCTGAAATTGACAAAGCTAATTTAGAATCATTATATAGGCAGGGTTTTTTAAATCCAATACTATCTAATTTTAAAAATTATACCTCAACTTTCTGGGAATGTTTTCGTCAAATGTTAGATAAAAACAAGCATGGTTTTAATAGAAAAATATGAATACTATCCATCATTGCTGATAATTTTACCTATGATAATATTAATACTAATCTAAATGTAAGTAATTATTTATCAAATTTATACAAATAACTGATGTAAAGTTACTTGCTAAAATTATAGAAATTCAGTATATTGGAATGTTAAAACTAGTTTTAACATTTTAACATGCTGAACTTTATAATTTTGGCAAAGTTCAAGATCTGCTTTTAATTAATTCGATACTTAAATAATACCTTAATTACCAATTATATAAATTGGTTTGGGAATGTTTTTAACATAATAACTAATTGCTAATTATTATATGAAAATATATTTGCTAATAGGTATCTAACGATACAATTAGTTATGCACATAAGCATGCATAACTTCATGGCCCTAGATGTATAGTATTAAATAAACCAATTATTACACATCAAAAAATTTCAGCTGAAAAATAACAGGCTTTGGATGCATTTTTAATAGATAAAGCACATGTTGTTATAAGTTCATATAAAACCGATACTGCAACAAATGAACCTGTACATTATCTAAAACATACTAAAAAAGCTCTCTGAGAAAAATTTTATGAACAATACTCTGATAGAATTAAGCGAGCAAGTTTTTTCAAGAAACTAGAAGGTAATAAATATACTTATTGTGAGGATTTAGGAGGATTATGTCATACTTGTCAACAGTATGGATATGAAATCTTTTCTGATCTTACTGACTTTATCGATAAATATATAATGCAGTCTTTAGAAAAAGTATTATCCAATTTCAATTTTTAGGTATAATTATTAATACTTATATGATTTGTTTTTGGAGTATTAGAAGCAGTTGATAATTGCGACAAATAATCTAAAGAGATTTTTAAAACGTGATTATGAAGGTTATTTTAATATCACAGCAAATGGAACTACTTTTCACAATATATATATCAATTATTGTTTGCTTTACACATATGGTCAATGTACTGAATGTCATACTCAAATATGTAATCAATGTCAAGAGTTTTTCAACTATTTTCAGAAGATTAAGAATAGCACGGCTACTATACATGACGAAGAGCTTAATAATTTGAAAGAATATTTGATATATTATCTCACTCATCAAACAAGGAAGGTCTATTTGAATGCACAATTTAATGCTAATTTATTAGATCTAGATGATGATATGGTATTGATTTTAGTTGATTATAAAATGAAAATCTTACCTAAGACCACATGTAAAACCAAAAATGACTAATTTGGAAAGAAAAGATGGTCCCTACATTCTGTTTTAGTATATAGATAGCAATTAGATTCAACTAATTTTCAAATTCAAGCATTTGATCACTGGGCTACAGACACTAGACAGAATTCTTGGTTTACCACCTCTTCACTATATACTGTAATCAAAAATCTTGATCAAAAACCAAAATCAATTATCATAATGTCTGATAATGGTGGACATTATCACAATGCAGATTTAATGATGATATTAAGTT